TATGTGATTTTTATCCTAATTTGCTTAAGAAGGCCCACGGACCCATACAGCGGGAACGTCATGCCTCAGAAAGAGTGCTACCTCTCAGGATGGCTTTGTTTGACATGTTCATCTGTTGCTTGCTGTCAACTTTCGCCACACACCAGCTAATCATCTTCCCATTTTAATCTGCTCTCCCCCCTCCCATGCATGTTTGTAGGTGTGATCACATTCAATTAAAATTTTGCATGCTCTATTGTGTAAGCTGAAGATTACACTGGATCTCTCAGCACATTTTAACACACAGATCATTAGCATTCAATGTTTTATCCTGGTAAACAGAGGAATAATGTGGGGCCAAAATCTGGAGGTAAAAGCATGAGCTGTCCCAACATGCATTCATAGTTTCTCTCACTACTTTCCCCACAAGTCCTTTTGCCCTCCCCACAAAGAGCTTCTTGACTTATTTGGAATCTACATTTAGAACACAAGGAAAGAACGTGTGTCACATGCTGCAAAACTCACCTGTTTCCTCAGGCAGATATACCTGTAAGTGCCCGCACACAAGTTGTCATAAAAATGGAAACATTTACATTACTCTGATATGGCTATCATTGCACTAGGCTAAACTTTCTCCCCATTTCTACCTTGTTATACTGCAATAGGCTTACACCTATAAGAGGACTCATTTTTATGGTAACCACCCTTTACGAAAAATATGCAATCAAATCACTGGATATTTTATTTATTTAAAAATAGCAAAATATAAAATTAACTTGACCTCCTGTTTTTAATGTCTATTTTTTCTCTTTCTTCTCCCCACTCTTTCCTTCTTTATACTGTACTATTGTGCATATCTTCATTCATATTTTCTTTTTTTATGTCATTTTAAATACTTTGTGTCTATTTCTCCCTCTCCATTCAATTTCATCTCACCTTTCTTTTCAAGGTATTTTCCTTTTTACAATCGGCTTCCCTTTTCCATCAAATCTACAAATTCTCTTTCACATTCCCCTCCTCATTTTAACACGCCTCAATCTTCCGTTTCCCCCCCTCTACCCTTTCCCAAATGACAACTGCTATCAAATATGACAGCCATCCCACCTGAACTGGTGTAACACAGCCCTAAGGTGGACACAAGGGCAAACCTGACACCAGTTCAGAGAGTGGTATGGGAAAACTCAATTGGTGGTGGAACAATAAGTAAGCTAATCGGCATCATACCACTGACTGACAAGGTCTGGAAAATGGGTTGGGAGGGGACGTGATTGCTGTTCTTCACTCCTGAAAGGATCCCCTCAATGCTGACCCCATTCCATCCTTTAAAGGTCAGTAACAGTGGAGCAGGTGCAGGAAATGCACTAAAACCCCACCCCTCCCTTGTGGGGAAGAGACAGAACAGAGACAGGAAGGCAAAATCGGGAGTAGAGCAATTAAAGATCAGCATTTTGTGGATGTGGGTGGAAACCTTGCAAAAAGTGAAATTATGCAGCTATTGGCACCAATATGATCCGTATTATATATGGATTTTCCTCAGTGATAGAGATAAGTAAATACTTCTTGTTTAATCTAAATACAATTCAATGCCAATTATGCAAAAAAATGAAAACCAATCTACTTTATGTAACTGTTTCAAATTATGTTGGGTGAAATTCAGACCCCTTTGTAGTCAATGGGAGTTTGACACTACCCAGTAGAAAATAAGTATACTGTATAGAGGTTTCAGAGTAACAGCCGTGTTAGTCTGTCTTCGCAAAAAGAAAAGGAGTACTTGTGGCACCTTAGAGACTAACCAATTTATTTGAGCATGAGCTTTCGTGAGCTACAGCTCACTTCATCGGATGCATACTGTGGAAACTGCAGAAGACATTATATACACACAGAGACCATGAAACAATACCTCCTCGCACCCCACTGTCCTGCTGGTAATAGCTTATCTAAAGTGATCATCAAGTTGGGCCATTTCCAGCACAAATCCAGGTTTTCTCACCCTGCGCCCCCCCCCACACAAACTCACTCTCCTGCTGGTAATAGCCCATCCAAAGTGACCACTCTCTTCACAATGTGTATGATAATCAAGGTGGGCCATTTCCTGCACAAATCCAGGTTCTCTCACCCCCTCACCCCCCCTCCAAAAAACCCACACACACAAACTCACTCTCCTGCTGGTAATAGCTTATCCAAAGTGACCACTCTCCCTACAATGTGCATGGTAATCAAGGTGGGCCATTTCCAGCACAAATCCAGGCTTTCTCAACCCCCCCCCCCCCCAGGGGAACACACACACACACACACACACAAACTCACTCTCCTGCTGGCAATAGCTCATCCAAACTGACCACTCTCCAAGTTTAAATCCAAGTTTAACCAGAACATCTGGGGGGGGGGGGGGGCGGTAGGAAAAAACAAGGGGAAATAGGCTACCTTGCATAATGACTTAGCCACTCCCAGTCTCTATTTAAGCCTAAATTAATAGTATCCAATTTGCAAATGAATTCCAATTCAGCAGTTTCTCGCTGGAGTCTGGATTTGAAGTTTTTTTGTTTTAAGATAGCGACCTTCATGTCTGTGATTGCGTGACCAGAGAGATTGAAGTGTTCTCCGACTGGTTTATGAATGTTATAATTCTTGACATCTGATTTGTGTCCATTTATTCTTTTACGTAGAGACTGTCCAGTTTGACCAATGTAAATGGCAGAGGGGCATTGCTGGCACATAATGGCATGGAGGGGGGTGAGGGGGTGAGAGAACCTGGATTTGTGCAGGAAATGGCCCACCTTGATTATCATACACATTGTGAAGAGAGTGGTCACTTTGGATGAGCTATTACCAGCAGGAGAGTGAGTTTGTGTGTGGGGGGGCGGAGGGTGAGAAAACCTGGATTAGTGCTGGAGATCGCCCAACTTGATGATCACTTTAGATAAGCTATTACCAACAGGACAGTGGGATGGGAGGAGGTATTGTTTCATGGTCTCTGTGTATATAATGTCTTCTGCAGTTTCCACAGTATGCATCCGATAAAGTGAGTTGTAGCTCATGAAAGCTCATGCTCAAATAAATTGGTTAGTCTCTAAGGTGCCACAAGTACTCCTTTTCTTTATACTGTATACAGTTAGGTTTCAGAGTAGCAGCCGTGTTAGTCTGTATTTGCAAAAAAAATGCATCCGATGAAGTGAGCTGTAGCTCACAAAAGCTTATGCTCAAATAAATTGGTTAGTCTCTAAGGTGCCTCAAGTACTCCTGTTCTTTTTGTATACAGTTAGATTCTATGTATTTAGTGAAAATGGATGGGACACTTTTGAAAGGCAGTACTATGTACACTATAATCCTTTTGTATTTACTTTTGCAGTCATAGTCATGGTCAACCCTAAGAATGTAGTTTAGGGCAAACTTTATTTATGTATTTTGCATCACCACTCTCCCTGACTTTAATAGGAATTCTGCCTCAGTAAAACCTCTGTTACTTTGAAAGAAAAGATTTTTATTTTATTTTTGCAGTTTTACTCTCCTTGCAGAAATATACAGATACCTATTTTCTGTGATCTGCCTGGCACACCTCACACGTGTGTATTATTCAGTGTGTGCGGATGTGCATACATAATACACAAATATTCACTTGGTATATACTCACCTAATACACATCTTAACAGGTTTTTAACTTTCCATCTAATCATTTTTGTGTTTAAAGAAATCTAAAAGTAGTTTTAGCCGGTGCATAGAGAAAAAGGATTGACTTTTTTTTACATATCTTTCTAGGAAAACAGATACTTATTTATACTCATAATTACAAAAATACCTCTATTAAAAATATCACTAAACCTCAATTTTCCTCCTCTAACTCTTAAAGCCTCAGTTACAAATAAGCTCATAATATTCTCCTTCTCTTTTAATAAATTAGATTTAAATGAATTCCTAACATCAGTCCTGTTTTTATAGCATAAAAGATCCTCACCTATACCTTTTGTCAATTTTTGACAGTGAAAGATGGTCCCGTTGCATCGCAGTCCAGTAGGTGGATGGTAACCTATCAATGATAGTATAGTAGAAATTACACTGACTAGACCAGACTAGAGTATGCAACAGTCAAATCATGAACCCAGTGATGGAAAAACTTCTGTTGACTTTCGTAGAAAAATAATTTAGCCCTGGACCTGCATCTATTTAAAATTTTCATTTTAACAGTTTGACTTTCTTACAAATTGAGAACAAATAAGTTTGAACTTTATCACCCAGATCTCACAGACTAGTCTTTACAGCATAACATTTTACTCAGCCTTAAGGTTATGTACATGCTGAAGTACTTTGCTGAATTAGGGTCTCAATGCTTTTATCAACATTTGTCATTGCTTAAAAATCCAACTGTGGTATCTCGATCCAGTAAGGGATAAATTTCCACTGGCAGTAAAATAGAAAATAGAAAACTTTGGTACAGAGGCACCAAACCCTCCAGAAGTATTTTAGTTGTAAAGCACCAAGCACACTTTTTTGACACTGTGTATAATAATAAATGGCAAAGTTTCCACTGACTCCAGGATTTGCCCTGCAGTTCTTCTGCAATTTAGATTTTTTATTTCTAATGCATTGCTAATATTTCTCATGTGAAATTTATAATCCAGATAGCTTTGCCATCCTCTGTCAGGCATGCTGGATATTATAAATCACTGAGTGCAATTTCCAAAACAAAACTGGCAAAAAATTCTGTTAGAAAAGAAATGAAAAAGGTAGGACATGATTGGCCCCTATTGTTTTACAATACAATTTAATCCAATGCTGAATTTACAGTTAAAATTGAATGAATGTTCCAATTATCTGGTATGAAATATAGAACTAACAAGGGGTTTAAAAAACAAAACCTTTGTATCATAATCATAAATTAACCATATAGGAACATGTGAAGTCAGTTTCACATGAAACTCAAAATAAGAATAAATTATGTTTTCTCTGTATGTTAGCTGTTTAATTTATAAGCAAACAATGAAAAAATTATTAATATGCTACTATAGACTTCCTACTAACATCCACCATGTTACACATTTCTATATTTTTAGTAATAAAATTATCATATTAAATTGTACAATCTTTTCCTATTGAAATGTGTTCCCTTGTAATTATCGCATTCCACCCTGAAAGTATTTGTATTTAATTAATGTATTTGTTTAAGAAGTAGGTATAACAATTATGAAATAGGCAACTGATAAGCACAAATAAGTAAAACTTCTTAAGTATTTACAACAATTAGATAGCCAAGGCAATGCATAGTTTAATTTGCATTATATTATGTATCCCCATTCTGATCAATTGAAAGATACTGCCATTTATTCCCCACAACTCAACATCTTTTGGTCACTGGTGAACGAATCACAGTTTTAATGTAACTCTAATTCTCAGTGACAATATCTTCATACTAGTCTTTTACATTGCAACCTTATCATATGAACTTGGATGAAAGCTTCAGATATCTGATACTGCATACATTTATTTTTATTCCCTTGAGATCTTCTGAAGACAGTACTGTGGACAATGCCACACTTTCAAGTGAGCACCACTGGTTTATCTAGTCTTTTACCTTAATCCCTCTCCCAAAACTAATTTCAGAACTTGACAATGAATATGACAATTGGCCTCATCATGACAAGAATTAAAAGCAAAACTTACCTTTCTAACTTAGTTTTCCCACAGTACATTCTTCTGACACACAGGCCCATAACACAGCCTCTCACCCACCCAAAGAGAAATAAGCCGGCAAACTATAAACCTATACAACTATTTCATTTACAGACTGTAGAAAAATTATTTCTATTTTTAAGTTCTTGGGAGGCACACAGATACTAGTCATGTGAACTCTTAAGTACATAGGCAGTTAGAAGTTTCAAATTCATCTGGTTAGTTTAATTACTTTTTTTTTTTACATCTATAGTATTAAAGCAAAGTCAAATTCTGATGTTGTGTTAATTTAACAATCTGTATTTTATTCAGATGGAAGATCGTTTGTATTCTTAATAATTTTATCCTATACTCTGTTTCCTAAACTACATTCTTTAAAGTCCCTTTTAGGAATATACAATGTTTCCAGTTTCAACCTAGCTGTCACTATTAAATATTTTGGGATCAAAAATACCATACAGGACAATGATAGAAAATTGTTCCACGTGTAATGTACAAACCATTTTTCACAGTTCTAATTAATATTATATAAAAAGTCACAATTTAAGCAATAATAGATACTTGGTGTAATCAAGATGAAATTAAGTTCAGCCTTACGCTTTCACATGTTAAGAGTCAAATCCAGGTTCAGTGTGCTGTTGTAGCCTAAGCAGGTATAGATATACACACTGCAAGAGCAGCAGTACGGTATACCCGGATGCTGGTAACAACTACCCCTGCACACTCACCCATGTACTGGTTATTCTGGCCTGAAGCACATATAATTTGAGCAAATCTAAATGTAGGGTCCATAGCTGGATTGGCAACATGTGTCAAATGTCCTTTGACCTAGCACCCACAACACTTCTTGTGGATTTGTGGGGGGCATGGGGATGGGGTGGAGGCAGACTAAGGACTGAGATAGTGTTCCATCTTCTGGGAATGGATTATTTTGTTAGGTACCTATGTACAATATTCTGACAGAATTTGCCTCAGCTCGCCAAATCCTATTTACCTTATTCAAAATTGTATAAGCAAGATGAACAGGATTTGGCCCCAAATGGTTAACCCTTCAAGTAGCATAAGAGTAGTTCCAGTACACTTAGCCCATAGTTCCTAAATAACTTCATTTGCAAAATGAAAGCAGATCAGTGTTTGTTTATAGGGGAGTCTCTGCTCATGAGAGAGAACTTTGCAAAAACAGACTACATTTTATTGTACATCTAGTTTTGGAATTGATATTCCAAAAGGAAAAAAAGAGTGAAATTATGTTTTTCCATGGTACAATTTTCTCCCAAACACAATTCAACACCAAAATGATTATCTGTATTTTTAGTTATTTACTACCTAGATACTACTACGATGATGAGTTTTAGAAATACCTAGCAGACCTCTACCATGAATGCATAGATGTCTATGTGTTATATGCATTGGCACGGATGCTGAACACCCACTTTTAACAAAAGGATAACTGTAGTCTTTACAGAGAATTATTATAGCAGACAAAAAGATTTTACAAAGGGCCACTTAAATGGTTTCACATAAACTGTGTGTCCAGGATCTTATATGAGAAGAGCAAAATAATCAAATAATGTTACTGCTGATTGAAGGGGGCAAGAACATCATTGTTATATTAAAATGAAATTATACTCAATTTTACATTGTTAGATTAAATCACTGTAGATCTGAGTTATTTATTTAAACTATACAATATAAAGTGTAAATGTAATTGTATTTAAATTAAATTAGCCAAACTAAATGATATACAATACTGACAGTGATAACACTACTGTAATAAGACTTCTGACTGTAAGTCAGTACAATGCAGTATATCCTAATAATGCACAATACTCAAAAATAGAATGTGGAGATCAGGAATTACTTAAGATGTAGTCATGATCCTTAACTATATTACACCAAATGGAAAACCGGACTGTGCAAAACTCAGTTTAATCCCAGTTGACTGGGTGACTCACTTTTATGCAACTCAGATTTCTAACACAATATCATGTTAATTGCCAGTGCTTAATATATAACTGTACTTGCCAAAGAACACTCAGGTTATGAGAGTGCTACAAATGTTTGGCTGAAGAATGCCTGCATTTGCAGATAGTTTGAAAGGATTCCCTTTGTGACTGGGGTAAAGCACTTGCGTGACCAGTAAACATTGCTTTCTGCTTGACTTTGCCTTCTAATGGACACTGCCCCCTTGAGGTGTTTATTGTATTCAGAGAAAATTGTATGTGAAGGCTGTATGAATCTGTATAAGAGTGTGTTCTTGCTGTTTTGAGTGACTTCTTACCTAATCATTTTAGTTCGTTTAATGGCTTAGTTCCACCCAGCTGAAGGGTGTATAAATCTTTATTAACAACAGGATCTTTAGATGTCAATTCTAGGCACATTGTAGAGGAAATTGGGTGTGCATGTCCCATTTTCAATGAAAATTAGCAGCAGTCGCATGCTTAATTGTCCATGCACAGTGCTGCAACGAAGGTAGCAATTCTTAGAGAGTAATTTGTAGAGAGTAAGGATGAAATCCAGGCCCCACTGAAGGCTATGGCAATACTTCCATTGACTTCCACAGGGCCAAGATTTCATCCTAAGTCTTTGGCAAAAATGCAATAAAAAGTCACATTATACAAAGAGCTGTGTTCAAGGCAGCACAAGGAGCTGTGTCAGGAATGATCTAGTTAATGATCTGCCTTGAGTGCAGGGGACTGGACTAGATGACCTGTTGAGGTCCTTTCCAATCCTACACTTCTATGATATACAAAAGGTAAGGCCAGGAAAAGCTTAGTTTTGGGAATACTGTGTTTGTGACTGGTAATGGAGGCATCAAAACATCCCATCATTAATAGTCTGGAAAACCTATTCCATTTAAGTCCAGAGTTTTACCTTACGACTGATTCTTCCCTACCCAGATCTGTGCGGTGGACCAAATTCTGCAGCCTTTACTCAGTCCTTATTCCTTAATCCAATGGGAATTTGTTGGACTGAACAGAAAAGGTAATTTTTGTATCCACTCTGCTTTTGGCACCAGCAGTTCCGGCTAGCTCCAAGCAGGAGTTCTGCTTCCTGGGATTCTCAATATGGTGGTTGCCCCGGACACCTCTAGGGTGGGTTTCTTTTACAGCACAGAAGACTGTTTTGGGGTATATTAACTTGTAGTGTGTTCCTCTTCCTCTGCAGGTAGAAGCAAGACTATTGATGGGCCTGCCCCTTCCACCTCTGCTGACCTTGTACACTGCAAAGTCCCCATGGAGTGATTCCCAGTGAGTATGTAACAGAGGTGAAATCTCCCCTTTGTGTGTGTGTGGAGGATGCCCTGAGCAAGGCCCTCAGGACTGGCCTATAATGGACAGATAAGCTTCTGTATTTCTGCAGTTTGGCTCTTGAAATCCCTGTCACAGATCTACCTATAAAAATTAAATGTCTACATCATAAATCATGGGAACCTCTTTTCTAATAGAGGGAGAGAATTTTGAGGACTTGTTTGTGGACATCACTACCCAGAGGGGAAAAATATATATTTCATACTTTATATGTGCAATAAATTGTCATTAAATATCTTTCCCCATATATAAAATCTCTAAAGAGAACAAAACTGACCAACTTTATGATGCCATGGCATATTACTAATATGTGGAGATTTATTAATAATAATCCTTGGCTGTTCCCTAGTGCCTCTTATCCCAAAGTCTCAAAGCACTTTAAAAACATTAATTGATTATTATCCCCATTTTACAGATGAGGAAACTGAAGAAGAGAGAAGTTAAGTGATTTGCCAAAAGTAACACAGCAAGTCAGTGGCAAAGTTAGGGATGGGACTGAGTCCCTGTTCTAACTGTGGCACAACATTATATCCCCACTAAGTAAATTCACTGTATCTTAAAGATGTTGTTTCACACCATGTATTTTAAAGATCATGAAAATTGGCCAGTTTTGTAAAATTAAAATTTTTACAATGGCAATTTCCCGCCCCACATAAGCAGAGAAGGCTACTTAAAGGGTTAACTACACAGCTGTGTAAATAGAGGTTTTTTATTTATTCTTGCTGACACCTAATTATAATGTTTAAATACTAACTGGCACAGAAGATACTGAGCTAGCCCTGGATTCCCCTTGTTTTGTTATTGGGCATGGCAATGGTACAACAAGATACTCCTACTGTGGCTTCAGGCAACTCATCTTCCTCAGTCCATTCATTAAGATCTGGATTATAGCACTGAATGCACTTCTTATATTTCTTTTCTATTTCATTCCAGCCACCCACCAAGTAAATTTTCCCATTCAGAGTGGAAGCCCCTGCAGTGCTCACTCCAGTTGGCAGGGGAGCAGCATAGTTCCACTGGCCAGCATAAGGATTGTAGCACTCAACAGGGAGGACATCAATCCTTTCACCTCGACCTCCCAGTTGGGACCCACCCATGATATAGACCCTCTCCCCAAGGGAAACAGCACAGTGCCATCCTCTTGGAGTGCTAAGGGTGGACTTATCCTGCCAGCTATCATTGCTGGGGTCATACATGCACACAGAGCGGGAGTAAGCATTGTTTATGTAACCTCCTGTGACCAGGATTCTACCATCTATGACTGCACTGGCATGGCAGCACCTTGCTACCTCCAGTGGAGCCTTCATTTGCCACTGGTTAACTGCCGGCACATAGCATTCAACTGAGGATAGACACCCTTCAGAGTTGCGACCACCCACTGCAAAAAGGAGGCCATTGAATACATTCAGGCTAAAATGGGTGCGCTTCTGATTCATGTTGGCCAGGTGAATCCATGTGTTGAAACGAGGATCATATCTGCAAGCATTAAGAAAAGAGAATAATTGATGCAATCAAAATACTCAAATATTTCTATGGGAAGGCCTACAACGTCACATCTGCCACTCTATAGTTAAAATTGTGGGGGCTTCTAAATCACTGTTTAATTTGTCTTGTCTGGCTATTACAGTGGTTCTCAAACTTTTGTACTGGTGACCCCTTTCACATAGCAAGCCTCGAAGTGTGACCCCCCACCTTATAAATTAAAAACAATTTTTAATATATTTAACACCATTATAAATGCTGGAAAAGCGGGGTTTGGGGTGGAGGCTGACAGCTCGTGACCCCCCATGTAATAACCTCATGACCCCATGAGGCCCCCAGTTTGAGAACCCCTGGGCTATTACAATTCACTTGAACTGAAAGTTGGAGTTTTGCTAAATTTCAGTAAAAATAGGTTTCATTCTTTAACAGGTGAAAAATGTATCTTTGTAATTCAAAAATAGTTTTGTCAATTAAATCTGGCATGTATTTAGCATATAATTTGATCTAATTACCTTCAGTAATTTGATTTTTTTAAAAATCAACCTCCTAAGAACCTTGGAAAGTGACTATTGTGCCTGTACTGTATTTAATTTCAAATACAATTTTCTATTTTTTATAATTTAACTTCAAATGTGTCTTGTAATATGCATCTCAAGATTTTACATGCCCAGTCTTTAAAAGTGACATAGTGGCTCCTTTGTAATAAATACAATGATGTATTTATTAAATTTGTTCTCATACAATCTGTACTGTAGCTGGTCATATGTTATTTTAAAGCCATGTATTGCTGCCACTGAAGTTAATAGGAATCTTGCCAAACACTCCAATGTGTGACATATTGGGCCTTTTGGCAGTAATAATTGAGAATTTACATGGCACTTTGTAAGTCTCTCTATCTTCAAAGCACTATACAAGCATTTTAAACTGTATATTTGTTGTGGCAGTAAAAAGATGCATTTTAAATATTTAGGGCCAACTTGGCAACTACTTATTAATGCAAAAAATCCTTACTCAGAGAAAGTTTCATTAATTTCATTGGGACTGTTAGTATCAGTAAGAATTTGTAGGATCAGGTCATTATACAAAAGAGTTTTTACAGTGCATTATATCAAAGATGCAAACAAGTGTTTAAAAATGATCAAACATCTGATGAATACACTAAAACACACATAACACTGAAGGTCATAAACTACCTTTGATTTGCAATGCAAATCCTGTGGATATCAGTGGTCATGCCACATGCTCAGGCACAGAGAGATGAGGGGTACATATAACCCTAGGCTCATGATGCAGATGAGCCAAAGCAAGGTATTTCAAAGCTAAAGCTGATAATCTGTTTTATACTCATGATGTTGTACTTAATTTTCCAATACAGGAGAAAACAAGGAAGAGCTTCAGCTTCTGAGGGTTGCTTTCACATTATGAAAAAGTCTCTAACATTCCAATTATTATTGATTCTGCATATTAATATCTATGGTATTTTATGTATTTCCTTTCATTCTATTCGTTTTAAATAAGATATACATGAAACTAGGATCTTTGTTTCTTAACACCTCAACTGATTCCACAGGTCAGTTGCCTGCTGGAAGTGACATTCTCTGTTCAAAACATTAAGCATCTCCACAGCAATCAATTCTGAGGTCACAAATAGAAGACTATGACTTCTTTGGAAGGATAAGAGGTGAAGCAGATAAATTGCTAGGCCCACATGTTCCTGTCTTCAGAGAGTACAGAGACCAGCAGATGGGTAGAGCTCACATAAAAAAGGAGCTGGGGACAACCTCTTGGAAGGGATATATAAATAATAAGAGTTAGGTCTTGTCTGACATTTTACATCCATATCTCTGAAAGCAATTATACAAATGCAGAGAAGTGAAGTGACTTGCTCAAGGTCAATGGCAGAGCTAGGAATAGAATTCATGTTGGGTCACACTGACTCCTGTGACTGTGGTATTATTCCAGCTTGCTGTTTAATTTCCACCATGCAGTACATATAAAATAATCTGTGGGCTGAGTTCTGCTGTGTAAAGGTCAGGCAGGGCCTGAAATAAGGGTGTGTGTGTGGGGGGGTAGCTGGGGGACTATCTCCTCTGTGCAATGTTTTTTCTCTAGGAAATTGGCATAAATGACTAAATCGACCAACCAAACAACAGAGGAAGTTAGTGCTGCATTAGTTCTCCCTGTACACTCTCTGACCACCCTTCTAGGAGGGGTTATTTGGGCATTCCTGGTGGGGGCTGTCCTCAACAGCAGCAGAGTAACAGCTGTGTGTGCTGGGAAGCTGCTCAAAGAGAGGCATACAATTTATGCTCATATATTATTATTATTATTAGATATATACTGAGATCTATGAGTTTTCCCATTTCTGGACCATTTCTGGGGCCATAATGTGCCATTAATTTTTAGGCAGAACACTTTTAAAAATCAGCAGAACGTTCCCCTTTAAAATAATTTGACCTGAGGCCTCTAGGTTGAGATCTCTTTGTGTTCTACATTACCGCCACTCATGTAGTTCTAGGGGGACAGCGCACTGGAACCGCAGTCTTTGGAAACTATGCAGCATTTTGTGTATTTGACCCAGATGGGAACAACATAGCATTTAAGAAGCAAAGATATTGCTTCTAAACCTATGGCGTGAGAAATAAAGACCAAAATAAATGAAATATAGAAAAAATGTTGAAAATAAAAAAAGAATCACAATCATTTCTAAAAAATGTTCTTCAAAATTTTCCACAAGGCATCAACAGCTCTTGAACTTGAAGAATTCTTGCCTTGTTTGGTCTGTCACAATATTAATGCTACTTACAATTTTCCTGCGTTTTAATATTTAAATAGCCATTATTCATTTAATTTTGGCTTGACGTAGATTTTCTGATTTGGAGGTGTTGTTCTTTATACATTTGTGATTATGGATGGATATTTTGCATGACTTTAGTCGTACGTTTGTAATAGCTAAAATTTTAAATATCTAATAAAATTATTAGCAGGGAAGAAAAAAGATGTTATCTGGTTTTGCTAAGTTTTGCACTCAAACTTGGATTTGCTCCTGCACAATGTGGAATCTGCCTCTCCTTCCCTTGTAAATAACCATTTACCTGCAGAAATTGCTGACAGCATGCTTGGCCTGGTTCCTGGCATCATTCTGGTCTTCACCACCAGCCACATAGAGAAATCCATCCATCACAGTCACACACTGATTAAAACTTTTAGCAGGCATTTCAGTTAGCTTCTTCCATCCATTATCAGGATCTCTGTATAAGATGTCTCTGCTAAGGGATTTTTCTGTTAATGCTGGGCGTCCCCCAACAGTAACTAGGACTCTGAAACCTCCACGAATCCTTGTTCTTCTAGACTGCAGTGTATTCTGATTATATGGAAGCAAGTGATAGTTCATGGCATCCACTAGAAGTCGGTGGCAGTCTGTGTCTTGCATCATTCTTGGTACAGTTTGAACATAATTGACCAAGTCTTGAGCAGAGATGGTACCAAAACGAATGTTGCCCAAGAGATCTGCAGCATACTTTGCTCTTTTTTGGTCAAATTCCAGCCATTTTATTGCTATCTGGAATGCAGCAATTTCAGAAGGCAACTGCAAGTCGTCATCTGCAAGGAGTTCATTGATCTGATCAAAAGTAAGTTTTAAGAACTGATCTGTTTCTGAAAACTCAATGAAGTTGTCTCTAATAAATTTCTGGGCTGCTTCCTTGGTGTTTTTTAGTCCATATGTCTCTGCAATATTGGCAATATACATACAGTTCTCAACATTGATTTCTTGCATCAAAAAATCAGAGCATATCTTTACAAGGGTGTGAATCTGAAGATAGACTGCTGTGGAAATTATACTACCTATTGTGTAGAGTGAAAGAGTTAGCTTTCCATTGTAAGCATAAGTGATAACAGTGGCTAGGCCCAATGGGGATACGTCATTGAGATCTACTCTTTGAGTAGATGGATCTTTCTTTAAAATGTTATGAAAGTAGTCACTGCATGAAGCCATCACCACCTTGTGAACACTGAAGGATTTGGTTTTGGTACCAATAATCAAGTCACAAAGAAAATTTTCCTGCCTCATTCTGCTTAGCCCTTCCAAGAGATTTGGGCTATAAGAAGAATCAGAAACCTCAGCTGAGATGCAGCTGAAACCATTTCCTCCATCTAAGAACCCGTTCAAACCATTTAGTTTACTTAGGGGGCCATCCTCCACAATTATAGTCATCTCATTGATATCGCCTTTGTTTTTTTTTACATTCTTCTTTTTAGGTGCCATGACTGCAATGGAATATCACAGCCAAGAGCTTGCTGAAAAATACAATGATAAAGTTTAGAGTTACATTTCAGTTATAAGTATTTAACATCTGACTGATGACCCAACAGAGTTTAAACTTTATCAATAAATGGAACCACGGAAAGAACAGAACACAAAGTAACATATCTTACTACTGCCTGAAGACTTAAAATTGTGTGTTTTATTGGCCTGCATTGGAGTGTGGTTGCTAATAATAAATACTGAATATGATTCTTCTGGAATGATAGTTATATAGAAAGAATGCATTTAAAATTAACTCTTGTTTATAACAAGATCACAAAAATCAAGTTTCTCCAAGAATGAGTTTAGGATGCAAATTCAGTGGAATTGCAGGAGTTCCCTAAATCCAAATTTAGAATAGTTTCTATTTCTCAGAAGTAAAATGAGTTTGGCTAAGTATAAACTTTTAAAAATAGAATAATATTTTAAAATCAGGACCCAGACCTATAATTTTTTTAGACAAAAAAACAAACAAACAAACAAACAAACAATAAAGGTATGGGATCGGATTCTGTTCTTGCTTTCAGAAGTGCTATTCCCAATTTACAGTGGTGTAAATGAGTTCAGAATCTGACACACGGAAATTAAAAATGTGGAAAGTTTTCCACAACTAAAGAGTATGAAACATATTGGGGGAAAGTGTATTTTTGTCATGGTTTTCTGTATTTTTAGACTGAGGATCTGAGCCTGAGTGCTTTCAGGATTGCGACTTTAAATTTATTAGGCTTATGGAATACTATTTCCATGCCATTCACAAATGCCCTTCTACATATAATTTACTTCACAAGCTTTCCCATATTTATATCATACTGTCCATAAGTTGAAATTATGGTTTCTAAAGTTTCAGCGTCAATTATTGAGGGTATTTCTAAAAAAAGAAAAAAAGGCTAACTTTGTTTTGTAAAAGAATGTGTACAAATTGATACAGACTTAGCAACAGGTATTAGCTTTAAGAAGCCATTTCTCTGTGTGAAGAGAATCCTCACTTTTATATAATAACCTTAGATTAATTGTTTAAATTATGCATATAAACTATGGGCAAATTCCTGCTCCCACTGAAATCAGTGGCCAAACTTCTGCTGAATTCAGTGGGAAGGCCCTGTGTGTTCTTCAGAGGAGTTATTTCATTTACAAAATATAAGCAAATACACATTAAAGAAAGGTCCTTGTCTTGAATAATACATCAATGAAATGAGTCACTGATACTAATCAAATACAGCATTATACCTAAGATACACTATTTTCTTGCATTCTGACACAATTTCGTCATATTCTAGTCCTAACCTCCTAGACAAGGATAGAACATGGAGGAATGCTATGTAACGATAAAATAAACAGTGGCATCATTTACTAGATTTTTTTAATAATTAAGCCTCTCCAGCAATATTTCCTTGTAAAATCTCATCATATTCAACTTCCCCAAAGCATGCAGCTTATAATAAGTCAGCATTTTAATTATAGAAAGGAATGGTTAGTTCCGCTGTAAGAACCAGGCTTTTTTTTTTTCCTGCTTGGTGATGACTATGTGCAGTGCGAGAGAGGCCCATGTGTGCCGAAAACGTCAGTGTCTCAGTGTCACTGCATGCCAGAATGAGCTGAGATTCCAAAATGTCTCCTTGCCAAAGAGGTGGGTCAGCTGCTCCCCTTCTCCCTGCCCACCCCGGCTGCATTCCAAGAGCTGCATCTGTTGAAACCTATCAGAGTCAGTTCTAGGAATAGTAACACTCACACAGCAGCTTGCCATTTTAAGACAGGTTCAATTTAAGGTGTATTTGCCACTTTGGACACACTTGATTGTTTCAAATGACAGTTTGCAACCTATTTAAACAGAAAGTGCAATGTATATTTCATTGTTACAGACTGAAAAAGAGACCAAACTTTGGATGTGTTTACATATTCTATTCACAAACTTTATAGATGGCTAGATAATATTACCTTGGCAAGCATAACTGTGGCTTTAAATATTTTCAGAGATACTTAAACTTTATAAACTTTAACACATGCACCATTTGTTCATGAAAACAAGAATTATTTTTAGATCCAATAATTTTAAATGTTGTTTGTTATAAAAAATATTTCTCCAAAGTTTTCATTACCATGTACTTTTCTATCAACAGAAATTTAATGATCTAGTTTATTTGATAAGCAGCCAATGAGTTAAATGCAAAAGCATCTGAAGGAAAAGCTAAAGGAAATGCAAAAGCAAAGAAACATATCAACCACCACACCATGAAAATATCCTAATTTTATTTTTAAGTTTTGCAAGCCTCGGGTGATTTGGTTTTCTACAGACTTTTTCCTTTCCATAGATAGAAGAGGCTATGTTGATTTCGGCTGAGGAATAATTCATGACAAAGGACATTCCAGGTCCAAAAATGTACTAGATACGGGGCGGGGGGGAAACTATCCTAGAAACATGATGAATATGACCAACAACGGCAACAGCAGGAGCAACCTTACCTTCCTCAGCAATGCACTGTCTACAGCTGTCCAACTAGGTGTCAGTAGGAATGTCCGTTCCTAGGAAGAATGAGAAGAGAGAGAATGATAAAGAGAGAGAGAGAGATCAGAGGCCACCTGACAAGTCCCAGCAATTGCAGTTTCTAGCGTGACCCTTTGCTGTCACAGTGAATAAAAGAGGCTGGTGTCTGCGCTCTGGGGCCCTTTAAAGTGATCCCTCCTCCTCGTCTCTCTCTCTCTCTCTCTCTCTGCCACCCAGGGAGGTTAGGTTTCCTTTGCTTGCCTAACTTTTAAAAATGAAGGGAACAAACTTGTCTCTCAGATATAAACACAGATATGCAAGGGAAATATAGGGCAAGTTCCTGGAAAGGACATTCTTCTCCCGTCCACCCTCATGCCAACCTCTCGGGGAGAAATTGTTTATGATAACTGTATTATTTGTCCCAGATGGACAAAATACAACCTGATTCAGACCTCTTCTCTCCACCATCTACAGTGTAGGTTTCTTTCTGTCACTATGAGTTTAAGTAAATACAGGCCACATATCTTATTCAGATAGAGGATCATCATCACAATAGTGCTGTGGACTCCCACAATAACATAACTGCATTCCTATTCCAAAGAAATGCAGATAACCTTCTCCCTACACGACAAGGGGTACTGAGTATCCCAGGGGGACTAGTAATGGGATACTGAACCCTTCATAGGTTAATGGTTCAAACATAGATCATGATTCTGCCACTGAGTTTTACTCAGAACAAGAGGATTTCTTTGCAAGCCTGATGGTGAAATATGTCCTTCAAGCCAGTAGTGACCAAGAACAATTACCATAAGTGACTTGTGTAAACTGAGTTCAGTTCCTACTGGACAGCTGACCACATCTCAGAAACAAACAAATCTCCATCATGATTGGCACCAGCTGACATTTTTCAGATACTGAATGGACACAGAATCCTTTCACTTCTGCAAGAAGTATCTCCAGAGTAGGGTTGATACAGTTGACAAGGTAGTGATTCAGGGAAGCTTGCAATGCCTCTATCGGTCTTATTTCTATACCGTAGATAAAAAAAGATAACTTCAGCCTCCTGAGGTCCATCAACTTTCATCAGTGATAGCCCTACTACAGTCACAACCCCTCCACAATGAGAGCCGTCCAAGCAAAATACGAGTACATCAGGATGTGGTTTTGGCCATTCAGTACATGGTGCTCTTTCCCCTGAGTTCATACTGAACCAAATCCCCATCATAGTGCTAGGGTGTGCTGTGTTGCTAGAGCTGCCATCTTTTGGATAAGATGTGCAGTATGCAAAACCAAGGCTCTGACAAGTCGTCATCAGAAAAATATTCCATGGTACATTTTCAAGAACAGGAGCATTAACCCCAATAGGAAAGACAATTCAAATATAATGGTAATTCCATTCTACCTACCTAAAAATCCCTTTGTTAAATAGAATTGATACATTAATTTTTAACCCCCTTATTAATATTTCTTTAAAACATGAAAGATGTTATATAAGTATAGCAATTTTCATTATAATTAAATTAACTTTTTAAAATTCACTGCATACAATGAACTCAAGCATTTTTTGCGAGTGAGTCATTCAGCTTCATAGATTTAGGGGAAAGCTTGGCCCCATTCAATTCAGAAGCAAAACTCCCATCAGGAGGAAAGCTGTCTAATGGTTAGGGTGCTAGCCTAGGACTCAGGAAGCCTGGGTTCAATTCATTGCTCTACCAAAGGCTTCCTATGTGACCATGGACAAGTCATTGAATCTCTCTGTGCCTCAGTTCCCCATTTCCACCTCACAGGGGTGTTGTGAAGCTAAATACATTAGAGACTGGGAGATGTTCAGATACTACAGAGATGGGGGGCATATAAGTACCACAGGCAGAATGGAGTCAGGATTTAACCTTCTGTCCTGTTGCTGTGTTATCAGGTAACAAAAATGCCAAACAACTTATAACAGCAGGTTGTTGTACCCTAGTATCAGTAAGTGCGCTGGGCTTCCAATGCCAGCATTGGTTCCAGTCCATCATCTGTAGCACCTCTTATGAGAGAAACTCCTCATCCATTTATGTGACCTTGGCACTGATGTATTGGTGGACTTCACGGTTTTACTCTTCCCACCCTAAGGACAGAGCCTTTCCAGGACATTTTGGCACAAGGTGCAGCTTTCCCCCTCCGACACAATTCAAAAGACAAACCCTAATTACATCTGCTTGTTAAACAATGCACTGCTTATTTAAGAAAAATAGGTAAAATAAAGTAAAGCATTTACTCTTCATCACACATAGATTCATATAGGGGCATGCATTTCCACCAATATGTCAAGTCACTACTGTTTTCTGAAAATTCTCTTATTCCGTGATACCCACAATAAGTGAGTAAAATCTGTTGAGTGGACCAGATCCTCAGCTGTGGCTGAGTAGTACTTGAAGAAGTGGGATGGGTGGAAGGGTGCAAAGGTGCCTTTTGTGACCAACTGCTCCTGAATTATCCATCCACCAGGCTGCAGCCTGGTAAACAGTGGCTGTGGCCTTCTGCAGATGGGGGGGAGGGGGTCCTGTGATGGGTTGGACCCCCCCATCCAGGGTGCCACCTGATGTGCTGGGATCTCTCTGAGCCTGCCCTTTCCACTAGCCTGGGTTTCCTCACCCTATTCTTGATGTGCTAGGCTCTCAAGCCTTCTCCAGCACTCACACAGGTAAGGCCATACCCAGATGCAGACACAGACTGGAATCAGCTCTGCGTGGGAGCACTTAGCTAGGAGAAGGACCAGCACTCATGTGCACACACCCTTTGGGGTATAAACCAAAAATAATATTGTTTTGTGCTGTATAGAAAGATCTGCACAGCGCAAGCTCATAAAAATTCACCCTCTCCCTCAATGTGGAGAGCTATGCACAGCTTTTTACTCCCTGCAGATATGAATTGCAAAACCTGGGTTTTGAAATAAACAAGAAATAAGTTTATTAACTACAAAAGGTAAATTTTAAGTGATTATAAGGGATAGCAAACAGAACAAAGCAGATTACTCAGAAAATAAAACAAAACACACAAACTAAGCTTAATACACTTAAGAAAGAGGTTACAAAGTATGATTTCTCACCCTAAATGTTGTTTTAGGCAAGTTGCAGAGCTTCTGTAGTTTAGAGTTCCAGTTATTTCTCTTTACAGACTGGACCCCATCTCATCCTGGACTCAGCCCTTGCCTTTCCCTTTCCCTTTAGGTGTTTTTAGCTATCTTCCTTCTTGGACTGGGAGGCAATGGAGAAGAGTCCTGATTGCCTTACTTCCCAGCCTTAAATAGAATTTATATAAAGTGGGAATCTTTTGTTTCCCAGTCTGACCCCTTACCTCCTCTTAACGGAAAAACACTGAAAGCCCCAGATGGGCGTCTAATACCAGGTGACCCGATCACCTGACCCTGTAGTGTCAAAGCAGAAAGCCAGTGAGCTTCTCAGGAAGGTGGGAGATTAGTATCTTCCAAGTCTTACTGTTCTTCCTAATGGCCCATTGAGGATGATTACCTACTGTCTGGTGGGTGTTTCCCCAAATACACACACAGTTGTAATTGTTACATTGTCAATATTCCCAACCTCAGATACAGAAATGATATATACACACAAATTGGATAATCACATTCAGTAGATCATAACCTTTCCAATGATACCTCACATGACCCATCTTGCATAAAACATATCTTAGTTATGTTAGTTAGTTAGTTATTCACATCATAACAATATTTCTATGAAGAATATGGGGTGCAGTGTCACAGGGGCATAAGGGACTTCCAGCCACATCGCTTCCTCAGGCCCCCATCATCCATGCCATGCCAGACAGTAGAACTCACTACAACAACTTTATGCCACGCCGCCTGAGGATTCTAATAGGCAGGGAGGATTCTCCAGTGGCCAGCTAAGCAATCTTAATGTTGGACTGGATCTGGATCAATATAAAATTGATTTTATATAATTTTAATTATATAAAAATTAAAAAAAGAAATAAGATAATAAAAAATGCTTAACAGAGCCACCAATGAGGACATATGCCTAAAATGAGTTGCTGTACTACTGTATTGCTGCAACTCTCATCTTACTGCCCATCCCCTACCCTACTGTGTGTCACCTTCATTCTCCTTCACCTCTCACGTCATGTTTGAAGAGCGTAAGGTCTTCCAAGAAGGGATCATGTCCTTTCATATTATTTAGGAAGCACCTGTGTTTGCTACAGAATAATAATATTATTTTTGGACATATCTGGACTTGTCCTTTCTAGCACCCTCTACTGGAGGAGTTTTGCTGTTTGGTGAAAACCTGGAATGCTATCATAGGGAGACACGACAACAAACTTCATGATGATGAGAATATTATAAAAATAATTGACCACCAAATTCGCTCTCTCTAGGTACTTTATATAATTATCATCACCATAGATCCTAATGGATTTTTGTCCTCACTACTCCTGTGAAGTAGGGAAACCTTATCTCCATTTCGCTAAAGGGGAATTGATGTGCAGGTTAAGCAAGGTCACACAGAAAGTATGTGGCTGAGTCCAAAACTGAACCCTGCTCTCTTGAGTCCAGTGCCCAATCCACTAGGTCACCTTTCCACCATGCTGAAGATGGTAGGACTACATAAATTAACTGCATCCAGAGCTTAATTTGTGCTAAGGCTTTCCAGGGCTGAGCCCTGTCACAGCAAGGTTTGGCAGTTCATAGCCCCAGCACCTCTGGGCTTGCTGCATTACTGATGAACATAAAAAAATTGTGTGAGCCCTAGCATTTAATTGCTTGAGCTCCAGCACCTCTTTCATTACAAATTAAGCACTGATGGCACCTACAAATCAATGTCTCTGAAATCATGGCATCTTCAAAGCTTCCTAGGGGTTTTAATGGCTGGTGGAAGGGGCAGGGTCTGCTTTGGTGGTGCTGGTAGCAAGAGCAGCCAGAACATCCTCCACCACTGCCTGGGTATAAACCCTGCCAGGGAGAGGGGCCTGAAGAGTGCTTAATTTGTAATACAAGGGGTGCTGGAGCTCAAGCAATTACATGATAGGGCTCAAGCAATTTTTTTACATTCTTAACTGATGCAGCAAGCTCAGAACTGAACTGCCAAGCAAGCCCAGAACTGAACTTGGCTATGAACTGCCAAGCCAAGCCTTGTGGTGCCAGCATTCAGTTCTGGCACGCCCTCACACAAATTAAGCCCCGCCATAGTGACGATGGTGGTAGTGGTGGTGGATGAGAAGAAAAAGGCAAGCAAAGGCTTTGCCTTCTTCATGTCTGCTCCTTAAATAGAAACAATACTGGAAGAACCCCTCATCCAGTCACTGGGGAGCATAAGAGAAGAGACGGGAGGAATATGGGCTGTTTAGAGTCGCAGACTTAACCCAGAGAGCGTAACGAGAGAGCCCAAAATTAACAAGGGGTCGGGGGTGTCCATGTGGGCTCTGCTCCTCCAAGCTGGAGAAAAGACAAACTGGAGCTGGGTGAAAATGTGAGGACAAAATAAAATCATCAACAACAGAGCCGAGTTTTCCTGAAAATGTTCCATTAGGTTGTGGGAGAGACATAGCTTTGATTGGCCCAAGTTGGGGGAGAGAGGCAGGCTGTGCAGCTGAGCTCTGTACAGGCTCCAAAGCTTTGCTCTCTCCAAAGGTGAAAGTAACTTAAAGAACTTACTGGTCCAATGCAGGGCGACCAGGGTCCTGGGCAAGGTTGCAGGGGTGGCTCTGGGCCCCCTGAAGGGGCGGGGCCTTGGGTGGAACTGGCGGAGCTGGGGCCAGAATTCCCCAGACAGCCCTTCAGCGCTGCCTGGCCTGTGCTGCGCTGCTGGGAGCCCCGGGCCCTTTTAAATCGCCTGGACCTGGGGCAGCTGCCCCTTTTGCCCCCGCGTCAGCGGCCCTGCCAGAGCGCTTTAACGTCGGCTGTGTGCCGGCCTGTACTGGCGGCCACTTGCTTACCGGTACCCGGGACTGGCCCACTTTCATCTCCGGCTTTCTCCTCCCACAGAAGTTGGTCCAATTGCAATGCTATGCCCAGCCCTCCCGCACCTGCCCTTCTCTGATCCTGGGACCCACCGGGCTACGACAGCACCGCCCACAACCAGAGGGACTTGACAATACAATTCATTGGGGCTCTAGGTGGAGGAAGCGGGTGTGGGGAAGGGAGGAGAGGCGTGCCGAGAGAGGGGGAAAGGCTGGACGGGGAGGAAGGGGCGCCCCCAGGCAGAGCGGGTGGAAAGCGGCGGCACTGACGGGCGGGCTCAGCAAGCCGTGAGGGCCGGGGCTAGCAAGCGGGGCTCCGGGCGGCCCAGGCTGCCAGGGCTGAGCCCGGGCAGAGACGCCTCTCAGAGCCCCGCCCCGCCAGCGGGCGCGGAGGGACAGGCCCGGCCGCTGCTATAAGAGGCGCCGCCGGGGGGCAGGCGCGGCCCGCCGAGAGCTCGGAGCTGCGCGGGCGCGGGGCTGCTGGGCGCGGCAGGGCTTTGCTATGGCAGAGGCTGCGAGCGTGGTGCCGAGGGTCTTGTATCTGAAAGAGCGGCTCGGCCAGACTCAGGATCCCCAAAAGGTACCGCCTCGCTCCCTCGCCCCGGGAGAGGAGGCTGGAGTCAGCGCCCTGCGGGGGGTGCTGGGCTGGGGGCTGTTTCTGGCTGACTGCCCCCCCCCTCCCCCCCGTGACTCCCGCACACAAGCTGCGGGATCCGTCTGGCAGGTCCCCCTGCAAGGCGAGTTTGTGGTTTCACTGACTTCATTGCCTTCAGCTGATAACCCCTGGCTGCTTTTCACTTAAGCTTCTGCTTCATCCTAGGAGCACCTAGATCCATTTATCCCCCATGGCACTTGTTAGGCCTGAAACTTCCCCTGCTTTAGCATTGTGCAGCCTAGTGCTGAATGGCCTGCGTGGTCCAAGCAGAGCTATTCTTTAAAGTGCCTGAACAAGAAATTAAAAAGCCATTTTGACAAAAAAAGGAGAGCCATCCTGCTGCAGTCCTGTGGCAATGAGTCGGGGCGGGCAAACTTTTTGGTCCGAGGGCCACATTAGGTTTGCAAAACTGTATGGAGGGCCGTGTAGGGAAGGCTGTGCCTCTCCAAGCAGCCTGGCCCCTGCCCTGCATCTGCCTTCTCCTACTTCCTGCCCCCTGACTGCCCACCTCAGAATCCCTCGCCCACCCACCCCTGCCTCTTGTCCCCTGCCTGCCCCCTCCCAGGGACCCCCTGCCCCTAACTGCCCCCTGGAATCCCGCCCCATCCAACTTCCCCTCCCCCCGACCGCTATCCACACCTCTGCCACTTGACTGACAGGCCGCCCAAGACTCCATTCCTATCCAAACCCTCCTGCTCCCCTAACTGACCCCCCAGGACCTCCTCCAACTGCCCCTGACTGCCCCCCGGGACCTGTGCCCCATATCCAACCCCTCTGCCCCCTTACCATTGTGCTCAGAGCACTAGGAGCTCGCAGCCCTGCCACCCAGCCAGAGCCACCACACCGCCAGGCTGCCCAGAAGGAGCGGTGGAGCACAGAGGTGAGGCAGGGGGGATAGCGGGGAGGGGCCGGGGACTAGCCTCCATGGCTGGGAGCTCAAGGGCCAGGCAGGATGGTCTGTGGGCTGATGTGGCCCACAGGCCGTGGTTTGCCCACCTCTGCAATGAGTGGATGCCTACTGGAGAGACTCCAATGTCTGTTTGATGTGCACAGCAAGTCTAATAGAAAGACGCCTAGAGGGAGGTGCTACAAACAAGCTTAAAAAGCAATAGGAATAAAATCTTAAGCATTTGTTTTATAATGTACTTTTGAAAGCAAAATATAAAGTCACTGTATATAGTGAAATTTACTTTTAACTAATTAAATTTATCTGATCTAACTTTTACCTTTCAGTTATGTATTAAAGCTCATGTTGATGCAAACTTCAGTGTTTATTCCCATGCCTCTTATATTTAATTTATGTGCTTAATATCTCTAAGGGAAGCCATGATGATGGTATAACAATGATATTGAAATGACCGTTCCATCAGTGCTGCCTTACATGAGTAGCCCTGTTGAATTTAATGGGAGTGCTCACATGTACAGTAGACCCTCAGAGTTACAAACACCTCTGGAACAGAGGTTGTTCATAACTCTGAAATAGTCATAAAATGTTATGGTTGTTCTTTCAAAAGTTTATAACTCAACACTGACTTCATACAACTTTGAAACTTTACTATGCAGGAGAAAAATGCTGCTTTTAACCATCTTAATTTAAATGAAACAAGCACAGAAACTGTTTCCTTACCTTGTCAAATACTTTTTAAAACTTTCCCTTTTATTTTTTTAGTGGCTTACATTTAACACGGTACTGCAGTGTATTTGTCTCCCCACCCCACCCCTGCTACTGCCTGATTGCTTACTTCTGGTTTCAAATGAGGTGTGTAGTTGATCGGTCAGTTCGTAACTCTGAGGTTCTATTGCATAATACTACTCTTGGTTAGAAGTTTTTGAAGAATCATTTCTTTAGCTAAATCCTGTCTCATTTGTTTTGATATTCCAGTGGTGCTGAGTCTCAGTGGTTTTTAAGCTAATTTGTAGGAGCAAATTCTCCAATTTCAGAAATAAAAGGATTGACGTGTCAGTACAAGATACTTTCTGAAATTTGGGTGCCTTCTGATGACTGAGGGGGGGAGGTCTTCTGTAAGAACATATCTGTAATGAGTTACTTCATAAACTAATCATAGAATATTAGGGTTGGAAGGGACCTCAGGAGGTCATCTAGTCCAACCTCCTGCTCAAAGCAGGACCAATCCCCAATTAAATCATCCCAACCAGGGCTTTGTCAAGCCTGACCTTAAAAACGTCAAAGGAAATTCCACCACCTCCCTAGGTAATGCATGCCAGTGCTTCACCACCCTCCTAGTGAAAAAGTTTTTCTTAATATCCTACCTAAACCTCCCCCACTGCAACTTGAGACCATTACTCCTCGTTCTATTATCTGCTACCACTGAGAATAGTTTAGATCCATCCTCTTTGGAACCTGCTTTCAGATAGTTGAAAGCAGCTATCAAATCCCCCCTCATTCTCTTCTGCAGACTAAACAATCCCAGTTCTCACAGCCCCTCCTCATAAGACATGTGTTCCAGTCCCCTAATCATTTTTGTTGCCCTCTGCTGGACACTTTCCCATTTTTCCACATCCTTCTTGTAGTGTGGGCCCAAAAGTGGACACACTACTCCAGATGAGGCCTCACCAATGTCGAATAGAGGGGAATGATCACGTCCCTCGATCTGCTGGCAGTGCCCCTACCTATACAGCCCAAAATGCCATTGGCCTTTCTGGCAACAAGGGCACACTGACTCATATCCAGCTTCTCGTCCACTGTAACCCATAGGTCCTTTTCTGCAGAACTGCTGCCTCGCCATTCAGTCCCTAGTCTGTAGCGGTTCATAGGATTCTTCCATCCTAAGTGCAGGACTCTGCACTTGTCCTTTTTGAACCTCATCAGATTTCTTTTGGCCCAGTCGTCCAATTTGTCTAGGTCCCTCTGTATCCTATTGCTACCCTCCAGCATATCTACCGCTCCTCCCAGTTTAGTGTCATCTGCAAACTTGCTGAGGGTGCAATCCACACCATCCTCCAAATCATTAATGAATTAATTAAACTTGAAAAGCTGCCCAAGGTCAGTTGGCCTTTGTTGTAATTTCTCTTTGGTTATTTTGACCTGGAATGGGGCAAGTCATGGTAATTTTATCCAGTTTACAGGGGGATGCTTTTTTTTAAGATCAGGAGACTCTAGAATAGCGGTGGTGGCTTATGATAATAAGGAACAGAAAGGTGAGAAGATCATTAGAACTTGTGACCTCGATATAACCGAGCATCTAAAGCAAACTCATCTAAGGCCTGGTCTACACTGGGGGATGGGGAGTGGGGTCGATCTCCGTTACGCAACTTCAGCTACTTAGATCTACTTACCGCGGTGTCTTCACTGCGATAAGTCGATGGCTGATGCTCCCCCGTTGACTCCACCTGCGCCTCTTGCCTTGGTGGAGTACCGGAGTTGACTGGACAGTGCTCGGCGGTAGACTTATCGTATCTAGATTAGATGCGATAAATCGATCGCTGCCAGTCAATCCAGCAGGTAATGTAGACAAGCCCAAGGTAACTGACAGTGTTTATGTCAGAAGGCTTCTTGGCACTCAGACTAGAAAGCTAAAACATGTTGAGCTTCTGGGGTGCAAACTACTTTGTATTTGATAGTGGTTCTAAGTGTGACAGATGAGCCTTTATGACTTTGCTAATGCTATACAACAAAGAGAATGGAACTGTCAGTGTAAGAAAGTTATCACATATTCCAGTCATGCAGGAAGGACAAAGCTGCTCCTAAACTTAAAAAGGAATCCAGTAACCAGTAGGATAGCAGGATTGCCCAGGAGTCCTACAAAGTTAGAACTAGATGGAAAGTACCCAGAACCAAACCTCAAACGCAGATCTGTCTAATCTGAAGGATCAGCATTTGACCACTAAAGCAAACTAAGATGAAACCAGACCTGAGAGGGAAGATTAGCAGGATTCCACTGGCTGCTGTTTATCCCTTTACCAGTCACAATATCTTGACAACTAATCGGCATCCAATCTCATGTTTAAAGGAAACTGAGGGTATGTCTATGCTTAAAACGCTACAGCAGTAGAGCTTTGTGAAGACATTACCTACGCCAACAGGAGAGGTTCTCCCATTGCTGAAGGTAATTCACCTCCCCAAGAGGCAGCAGATAGGTCAAGAATCAATAGAGGAATTTTCCTGTTCACCTAGCACTGCCTATACCAAGGGTTAGGTCAGCCTACTTACCTGTCTCAGGGGCACTGTTCCCTCTAAGCTGTGTGTGTGCACACAGATCCTAAACCCGGCGCACACGGCGAAACACCACACACACAAAAATTTGCACAGAAGAAATTTTTTGCAAACACAACCTGTCAAAAATTAGAGGGACCATTGCTCAGGAGTGTGGATTTTGGATGCAAGTTCCCAGTGTAGACCTGTCCGAAGTATAACATTTAATCAGGCACCATAGTTGAAAGTTACAAGCCTGGACTGAATGTAGTAAGAGGTTAAAGTTCTCAATTTCTGTCATAGCTGTTGTATGCAGAGAACAGCTATAATAATTTTTAAATAACAATCAGTGGTTACTGAACTTAAAACTTGGAACTCATTTATGGTTACATTTTTCTGTCTTCCCTCTCTTGTGTGTGATTTTATACATAATATAAAAATTCATAATTTTATTTAGACGCCTGTGTCTTACCCTTGAAATATAAGTGAAGCTATTTGCTATATGTGCTGGCTATGAGAGTCAAAGTAGCAGGTTGTTTTCCTGTGCTGAATGGTTTTTGTTTCTGCAGGCCATATCCTCAGTGACACCTGTGCAACTGTTGCTTGCAAATTATGCTCCCACTTTCAGCTCTTCAAACTCACTAATCATTACTGGCATTACACAGGTGTGACTGCAAGCCTTAGTTGCCCTGTGGAATGTTTATTATTGGTGATGGAAGATCAGAAGGGGGGATCATGTTTGACTTTCAGAGCCCTGGCTGAGTTTGTATGG